GGATCAGTGGAACAACCTTAATGCGTTGATCGCCTGTTAAACGAAGTCCCCCCACTTCCGCCTCTTAGGACATGGCTCTCAAGGTTACCCAATTTTATCTGCATCATAAATAGGACGGGAAGAATCAATGTCAGCTCCTCAAGTTCTGTCTCAAAGCAAACTTCACGTTCGATAGAACGGTAACTGTGTGCTGAAGGACCCCACTTAATTGTCGGTGGACTGCGTGGGATTTATCTGGAAACCTACTTGCAGGCCGTTGCAGACACTACACTGCCAACAACGATTACATCCCGTGACCTCAAACCGTTGCTCAAATTCGGTGTTTGAAGCTTGCTTTTTAAATTTTTATTAACAAGTCTGCATCCGCTGCCACGATCCACAGACAACTGACAGCTAAGTGGGGTCCTTCTTCGTACGCCTGCCGAAAGAACGCTATAGAAAGACATGTCAATGGGTCCACCGGGTTCGAATTCATGGCCGAATCGGTCTTTTAACAGTTAGAACCATGGATCTTCGAACGACCTGCATCGGATATTGGCATTTGAAGAACATCTGAACGTTGTCTTGTCAGGCATAAAGGGAAACATTATGCAGCAACCACCCAAGCAGTAACAGGCGCGATTTTGTGAGAACGCCATACCGACTAATTGAGAGGCTGCTGAAGTATGATAAACTAGTCCGAAGTGCTACCCACGCAAATTTGTTAATCTGCACACGAGATCGAACCACACCGGCTTTAAATTCTAACAGGCGCTCTCATATGTCAGGAGTATATGAGAAACCGCAAACGGCTCTCTTATAGCACACGGATATGGTGTTGCAAAATGGTCAGAGTCAATAGTTAGGTGGCAGTTGCTAATGCCAAATGGCCCGTTTCAAAGGCAAGCATAGTTTGCAGTCATTTATCGCACTTGGCGCAGTTGCGAGGACGAAATTGTTGGCAAAAACGGGGATTTTCTTCTTGAGCCGGATGTCCGAACATACATCAGTAATCAGGGGGATGATGCCAAATCTCATACCACTGTTTGCTCAGTAAGGCCAAGTTTCATCTTTAAGTTCGACGATTTCCAACTCCTTCGGAGAGTCTGCAACCTCTTAGGTCACGAGCAGTTCAATAAATCCTCAATAAATTCCGCGGTAGCCCTCTTCTCCATCTAGGGCTGTTAATTTTCCCAAGAAGAGTACGTAATCTCGTAGGGAGTGGGAATGATAGCGCTGCTTCCAGCAAAATGTCGATGAATCAAAGGGTAGACAACACTGATGATTGGAGCGACCGAGTTGTCCTCGCTTTGAGTACGAACACCTGCAAAAAATACGAAAACTGCAGATTATGCTAACAAATGTATTTCTGAACATTCACAATGCTGGACCCTATGATTTGCCCGAGGTACATTAGGTGAACTAACTCAAGCAATGTCAACCGAAATTCTGAAGTGAGCTTTGGTTCCGAAAAAATTAAATATATAGGCTGGTAAACCTAGTCATCGTGCAGGATAATTCAATAATTCAGTCACCACAGGATGCCGGCTTTCCAATGAACTTCTCTTTGCTTCATTCAAAAACAAAACTCTGTAAAAATGACTACTTAATTAACATGCATTTTTCCCATTGATTTTCGATGCCCTTAAAATGTCAATTATTTTTCATGGAAAACATGCATGAAGATTATTATCTTCTTGCTCATTCGGTAGACAATTACGTCTTCTTTCAATTTTATATTTGGACGAAATGTATGATTCGGTTTAAAAAAACGGATTTTAATTGTGAATCTGTTTAATACCGTGAAATGGCCGTTCATAGAACGTCATTCCTCTGCATTTGCTAATGTGGCTTGTAAAGTTTGCAATATGGTTTAAATCCACTGCTAAATTTTATGATCGCCATATGGTCTCCTCTGAATACAGTAGAGAAATGTATGGTTTTCCGTACGCGGAAAATATATGGTTTGTAGTTTTGAAACGTCAAATTTAAGTGTAACGGTAGGTCGGGTTGAAGATTATCGGGGATTTTTAAACATTTTTAAAAACCGAATTATACCCTTCCCTCAAGTATAAAATTGGAAGCAGATGTAATTTTCTACCGAATGAGCAAAAGTATGTTAATCTTTAAGCATCGTTTCCATAACATCTAGTAAAACTTTTGAGAATATCGAAAATCAGGGAGAAAATGCATGCTAATTAAGTTGTCATTCCTTACAGAGTATTTTTTTATGCAGTCGGAAAGAAGTTCGTTCGAAAGTCGGCATCTTGAGGTAACCGAATTATTATAGGATTACCCTGCATGATTATGAGTTTTACAAACCTACTTTATCAAGCTTTTCGAAATTTCGGTTGTTATTTCATTAGTTTACCCCCCTGCGTAGAATCCGAACCTTCGAACTAATTAAAGTTTTGTTCCACCTATCGAATGCCTCTACTCCTAGCTGTCTCCTGGAAATCCGGTTTTTGATTGTCTTTTGAGTGCAGCTTTTCAAATAAGTGATGGATTTTACAGGCAAGTAGATGATGCTGCTATTGGCTCTTCGTTGGATTAACCGAAAATTTAAGAATGTTCAAGGTAAGCAGTAAGTTGACGGACTATAACCCTCTGACGGCCACGTAACCCAGATGAAATGGATGTGACTCTGCCTCTCATAAATATCGGCTGGGTCCGACCTCCTTCCTTGTTTTCTTTACCTAGATTTTTACTTCTTATTGTCAAAATAAATTTATTTTTTAACTTTGTATGCAGAGGGAGTAAATTTGCCCCGACTGATTATCCTAATCAGGTCTGTTTACTGAAGTCAGTCGCGCATATGATTGAGGAAGCTAAATCACTTTTTCACCCGAATATGTTACTTTATAGAGTCTCGATGTCCACGGGATATCCGCCAAAGGACGATCAGGTGAGATCTGCTTTGTCACACTGAAGTGAATGCGCCATTTAGTTTGCTGTATGGCTGGCAGGGCTATAAAATTTGGTCTTCTGACTCTGTTAAAGCTCCATCTGAGGATATTCTACATTTGGTTCGTAAAAACAATTAATCACACTGAGTTGATTTCTTGCATATGGCTTAGTAAGCTCAATAAACCGACTGAAATTACTGCAGAAAAAAGTCTTTTCATTGGTTCCAGAGCCTAGGACAACATTAACTCACTAAAGCGACGTCTAACTCTCGTCATTTTCCGACCTATCTCCAGCAGTTAAAGTGCAAAGGTTGTTTTCAACCAGCACTCCTCACAAAGACAAACTGTCTCCTCCGGTTTCCGATGTGTGTAAGTGCATATATTTATATAAGTGGTCGAACGGGCGGGGTTTCTACATAGAATGGCCAGTCTGAATGCGGCTAATCTGCGGAATTATTTGACACATCACGCAATGCAGAGGCGGCAGTTTAAGCGACCAAGGCGATTTTTTGGCGTGACCCAAGTGCGGGGTAGACTATGCATTTTGCGCGTGGGCTAGCTCAAAGTCAATACTGCCTAGTAGTCGGCGGACTCGAACAATCAGCAGAGGACACGCAGTGGACAAATGGCCGTGTGGAATATCGGGTACTCGTCTCCGGACATGACAGCATTACTTCCTTTGCCGTGCGCAATCCCCCTTTATTTTCTATCTCAGACGAAAAAGAAGCGTCAATAATTTATCAGACACTAGTATTTTGCATATTAAATTCCATAATTATTTTTGGCACAGAAATACCGACTAGCGGTAAAATTCGTATTCGACGAATGTGTTAGATTGCTTATGTACAGGGGGGCCGCTAAAGAAACGTCATGTATCTGCATTTATGAATGTGGCTTGTGAAGTTAACAATATTGCTCAAATCCACTGCTTAATTTTATGACACTCATATGGTCTCCTCTTAATACCGTAGAGGAATGCCTGGTTTTCCGTACACGGAAAATATACAGCTTGTAGTTTTGAAACCCTGAATGCAAGTGTAACAGCAGGTCGGGTTCAAAATTACTTGGGAATTAGAAAAGTTTTTTTGAAACCGAATTATACTCTTCTTTCGAGTATGAAATTGGAAAAAGACGTAATTTTCTACCAAATAAGTAAAAGAATGAATAGTTTTATGCATGCTTCCCATGAAATATAATTAAATTTTCAGGGGCATCGAAAATCAATGAGAAAATCGCATGCTACTTATGTAGTCATTTTTTGCAGAGTATAGATCTTGCATGCAGCCGAAAATAAGTTTTTTCGAAAGCTGACACCCTGAGGTGACTGGATCATTATAGATTTATGCTGCATCATGATTAGTTTTACAACGCTACTTAATTGATCTTTTCGAAACGAGAACGCATTTCGAAATTTCGGGTGACATTTCATGAGTTAGCACATCTACTGTAAGGCGGATTTGGTAGAGGAGGTTGCGACCGATTCACTTGAGGCGATCCCGCAAATCAGGAGCCCAGTTGCCGCAACTACACCAGATCCGGATAAAGCAAATACGTCGCAAAAACCGGAAGACAGCTCCGAATGCGAATGGTCGAACACGCTGCAGCGGTGCGGAAAAATGACCTCAGCTCTCAAGTTGCGGCTCATTCTAAGGGTGCCGACCACACATTCAAGTTCGATGTGGCCGAAATTCTCTTGAGGAGTGATAATCGCTTGAACCGGGAGCTGCTTGGGTCACGGTTTACTGTGCCCCACTCCATTAACAGGTTCTATGACGTTCCCCTTCCATACTCGGTGCTGAGAGTTCGCCTAGGCAGAGTAATTAGCCACGCTGGAAACGCACAGGTAACCACTGTTCCCAAAGCCTGTGTTGGTGCGTCAGATGGTTGAGCAATCATCACACCAACATTTAATGCACAGGATGAGATTGCATCGGCCATCAAACAGTCATCACATCACGTGCAACGATCCCTGAGGAAGGCGGGAGCCGTGAAGATTCATAAGTATGCGGTAGTAAGGCGACTGCATCCTATCAATACTGCAACCCTTGCGCATGAACCACTCGTATCTGCTTTTGTCTCTGATGATGGGTTCCAGCAGGAATCCGAAACGTCAAGCTAATAAAGCTCTTGTCCCAGCGATCGTGGCTCCTTCTTCAAGACTGCTTCCTGAGACTCGTCTTTTCGCTTGTATTGGCAGAGGAGGTTGCGACCGATTCGACCGATTCGCCTGAGGCGGTCCAGCAAATCAGGAGCCCAGTTGCCAGTACTGTCTGGTGTAGAGGTCAGACCCATTGTTTGGAGAGCAAAATACACCCTAATCTCAGTATCGAGCTTCTGCGATTATCGGGGAACTTGGACAGACGGTAGAAATAAACGGGATTCAAGTAGCAAGCTTCAACAGACGTAGAACGGACACAGAAATTACGGATGCTTGCTACATATTAGGCACAATCAGCCATGTAAAAGAGTTAGCCATCCCTCGGTTTGGCAGGGCTCCCATCATTTTCCGGACGTGAAAGACCGGTCTACGATTAACAACGATCAGAACCAGCTCGACGGTTGAAAATTGCACATCCATTGATCTTCTCCGCATGTTCCGATATCTGAACTTGCCACTAGCGCAAGCATTCAAAAGTAGGACATATGGCGATAGGGCTGACGGGGTACTAATGTCACTGAGCCTTTTTACGTCTGAGTCCGGTAAAATGTACAGAAGCCAGGACTGCAAAAGCCGGATTATGGACCGCCGACGGCTAGTATCGAACTAATATATTTCCGCCGAATTCTGCAGAAGCATTTGCCTGAAAGTTAGGACGACCGGAGAGACGAAGTCAGTAAAATTAACGAGAAGGAGATGAATGTGACGGATCGCGCTCTGTTATGCAACACGGTTGAGCAGTACTTTCCTTCTACAGTAATGTAGAATTGACAGAATTGCAGGAAAATATAGCAGGTAGGCTAATTTATGACATGTCAACAGAAATTCCGAAATGCGCTGCCGTTTCGAAAAGATTAATTAAGTAGGCTAGTAAAGCCAATCCTTGTGCAGCATAATTCTATAATAATTCAGCTACCCCAGGACGCCGGATTCCGAAAATACGTCTTTCTGTCTGCATAAAAAATTCATACTCCGTAAAAATGACTACTTGCGTAACATGAATTTTTTCATTGACTTTCGATGCCCTTAAAGATTGAAATATATTTCATGGAAACCATGCACAGAATCATCCATTCTTCTGCTTAATCAGTAGAAAATTACGTTTTCTTCCAATTGTACACTCGAAGGAAGAGCATAAATTGGTTTCATATAAGTCACCCAATTCCAGAATAATTTTGAAGCCGACCTGCCGTTAAATTTGCATTCGAGGTTACCAAACTACATGTCGTATAATTTCCGTGTACGGAAAACCATACATTTATCTATCGTATTAAGAGGCTACCATGTGGGCTTTATAAAATTAAGCAGTGGATTTGTAAGCCACATTGGTAAATGTTGAGACATGGCGTTTTATGAAGAACCATTTCACTATATCAAAAAATCGCACAATTAAAAACCTTTTTACAACCAAATTATACCCTTCCTCCGAGTGTACAATTGAAAGAAGACGTAATTTTCTACTGAATAAGCAAAAGGATGAGTATTTTTGTGCGTGTTTCCATGAAATATAATTGAATTTTTACGGCATCGAAAATCAAGGAAAAATGCATGCTACTTCAGTAGTCATTTTTACAGAGTGTAGTATCTTTTGCAGCCGAAACGAAAGCGCAGTTCGGAATTTCGGTTGACACTTCATGAGTTAGCCCACCTATTGTATAGCAGTCTGATAACTGGCATCGTGTTTACCTTTCAAGCATTTCTCAAGTTCGGGGAGATGGAATAAAATTAGTAAGCCTGGTTCTCTAGACATAAGACAATAGTTTATATACCGCCTAATGTGACCTCTACACGGCCCTCCTGCTCCGTAGAATCCTTTGATGTACAATGGGGCGAGCTGCGAAAATACCAAGAGATGCTAGTGTCAGGGACCTAAAAGTATTTCAGGTGACATAGAGACATGGTCGGGGGATCAGACTGAAATAACACCTCCCTACTGTAACTTTGGCAACGATAGGGTGTTGGACCCCCAATTAGCTGACCTCCAAAAATATACCCTAGAATTCAGTGTGACTATAAACATCGTTTAATGTTCACCGTTTCCATTGTTTTAAACTTCCTCCCTTACTGACTAAATGTAAACTTACCAGCGGACCCTTGTTCTAAATCCGTTATTGTTTTAAAAATCGCTTTTGTTCATTTACTAGCTATCGCGTTCAGCTTCTTTGCCAGATGACAACGAACGATACGACACTCAGCGGAATTTCGGTTAACGTTTCATGAGTTAGCCCATCAACTGTATAGGCGTCTAAAAATGGCATGCTGCTTAGCTTTCAAGTATTTCTCTCAAGTTCTGGGAAGTGGGGTAAAACTAGTGAGCCTGGCTCTCTAGACGTAAGACAATAGTTTAGTGTGACCTCTACGACCCTCCTGCTCTTTGGGATCCTTTGCTGTACAATAGGGTGAGCTGCGAAAATACCAAGACATGCTAGTGTCAGGGTCTTGAAAGGCTGTCACCTGACGTGGAGACGTGGTCGGAGGGTTAGACTGAAGCGACATCTCCTTACTGTAACTTTGGCAACGACAGGGTGCAGATCCCAGAAGTAGATGGGAATTACAAAAATATACCCTAGAATTCGGGGTGACTGTAGACATCACTTATTATTCACCGTTACAATTGTTGCAAACTTCCCTCCCTTACTGACTAAACTTACCATCGGCGCTTTATTCCACGTCTTTATTTTTTAAAAATCGCTTTTTGTTCATTTACTAGCTATCGCGCTCAAATTCTTTGCCAGATGAGAGCGCACAATAAGAATTTTAGTGGAAATTTATCTATTTTCTGTGTCTTCTTGATCTCCGTCTTGTGTGTAGTTGCACCGGTTAAAACCCTCCACCCCCATTCAACGTATTATGCGGTCCACAGGCTAGGTACTTGTGGGTCCTACACCCTATCGTTCTCGGGACTTTTAAGGCGCTGTCGTCTGCGTGAGATCGAAAACCTCTGCAATGGAGTCTGGTAGGTGTGGATTTAAGGGTCAGGTTTTATGAGAAATGTGCGGGCACCTGTTGTTGAACGGTGTAAGCCATTGCACGCACTTTCGTCTTTATCTTGTCCTGGCGTTCTAACGCAGCCGGGGTCAAGAGAGTGAACTGAAATTTATTCAGCCCAAGTCTGTCCCATTATAAAGGAATTTGCGTCTAAGCCTGCTCCGCGCGAAACGGCAGTGGTGCCAGTCCCTCGACGTGGACACTTTTCGATGCTTTTATAGATCAAAACCGTTCCTCTTCGAACTGTGATTCATAATTTCCACTGAGTGGACGGATTTTCCACGAGCCTCTTTCTTTTCTACATTTCATGGTTGGAAACGGCTAGCTTATGAAAGTGTATGAGACGCTGTTATGACCATTTGTGCGGCAGATGTAGGTTTGGTAGAGGGCGCTCACTGATCGTTTCTATGGAACTCACTCGTCCCATTGTGTCTTACGGGGTTTCTCTCGAGCCCAACTGGCAGCCGCACAGCGGTGCATGGTATAGGCAGTATGTCATTACGGAAAAGACAAGGTAGACTCCCTTGTCTTTGTCGGTAATGACATACATGTAGGTTTGTTTGAATTTTCCTTACAGAGAATTATTACCATGTATTTTGTGCACCTTAAGAACAGGCGCGAATACAGTTTTACTTCCAGATGGTTCAACAACTCAGACAGCGGACTCTTGCATGGAAGATAAAATGAAGTCGACACTGCAAAGTGTGCTCCCACAGCACTTCGGCGCATTCCTCACCATAGTAAATCTGAGGTGCTTTAAAAGTATCCTTACGCCCTAAATTTCCTCCCTTAGAAGGCCACAAACTGACGGAATCAGTCGGTGCACCTATCAGACAGTCAGACCGCAATGTCTGCTCCTTGATGTGGCCCATATAGTACTTCCACATAGAGGGTATCCGGATCGCCCTTTGTCTCCTCGAAAACCTCCTCGATCGCGAGTAGACCGACCGTTTAGCTTTGTCAACCCATGCGTCTGATCCCGCCTCCGGTCTCCTTGCTTATCTTTAGCCAACGGACCCAAGTGGGTAATTGAGGAGATAGTGCGGTAGATTCTGCACATAGCTGCCACCGTTGTAAGCGATTCACAGGATAGTTATCACTCTGCCCCCGTCATGCCCTAGGATACACTTTGGACGTCTTCGTCTGTGACGGTCGAACTGCAAATGATGCTTTTTGAATCCCTATTGGTTGATTTTATAGGCTCCTCAATTTGAAAGAGCATTAAAATTTTAAAAGCCATCTCATGAAAGCCAGCACATCCACAAGAAAAACCTATTCTCGTCATTATCGCGAAGTGCTTTCCAACTCAACACTTATTCCACGAATCTGGGTTCCAGAAGTAAGTTAAACCTCCACTGAAATCTTGCAAAGTCCCGGAAGGTCGCATTATCTGATGAAAGAAGGTTTCTGTTAGGGAGGGTTTCCTAGTCTTTTTGGATACACGTGGTAAAGCACCTAGTCTCGGGGTCAGCAAAGGCTTGCAGGTTTTGATTCATGGATTTTAGAGTTTAATGTAGACCCATGTTTTTGTGTCGAAAAGAAAGGACACTTTATTCCGAAACATACCTGGCTCGCATTTAGAAATATCCCTAACAAATGAAACCCAGGTGAGCTTCAGATATATGCGGGGCACGTTAGTTTTTAAAAAAACGTGATGTTCATCTCCTCCTTATACAAAGTGAGCTAACTTATCGAGCACGTCATACAAAGGTTCCACTAATGTATTCAAACAACATCAGACGTATGTCTATGAGAGAAACCACCAAACTGGGGGATAGCTGCGTTTACTTTAACATCCTTCGTTCTGCGAAATTGGCCTTCGCGCCGCAATGACTCGCTCTGATGAAGGTAACCATCAAGGGTATGATTACCAAGTCAGTAAGGTCTGTTTGGTATCGGTTGAGCGACAACTTCCTGCATGGCACGCGAGATGCCGAGGAGAGATGCTTGGTCATCCGATGCGCGTAATCTCGTCTTCCCATCGGCCAGACTTAATCTTGCCACTGATGCAAGGAGGGGGAGGGCGACCAAGGGTAGCTACTACATAATCTAATTAACGCTCTAGTTCCCACCATTCATCTCCACCCCCAGCCTCGGATACTGGTGATCTTCGTTCAGTTCCATGGGAGGACTATATGTAGTTTTTTCAGACCGGGGCGAAAAGAAACTGCCGGGAAAGGCATCTTTTTTAAGAAACCGCCTTTCATGAAGACGGTTCAAAGCATTTATATATTTCTGAAATAAAGTCATTTGCTTTATTTATGCATCGTTTTATGCGAATGGCCTGCCTTCGACGTCCCACAGTGCCCCAGGACGCTTGGTATGCTTCCTAATTGCAAACCACTCTGTGGCAGGGAATGTCTTGAAAGTTTGAAATAGTCAAACACGCATTGAACCATTGGATATTTTTAGCACTATCCCAACAAGTCCACATATATGGACTTTGTTTACCGAAAGGTCCTCAATGGTCGGAACAGTTTCTCCATTAAATATTATGGAAGTGCATTAGTCGTACAGCATGAAAGCAGGTTCTGGCATAGAAAGAAGGGCTAGATCGCATTTGGTAGCCAAATCCCGTATTACAGGTGGCGGGGGGTTGTTTACTGGGGTTAGTTTGTGTGGGCCCCTTTATCACATCTAACCCATTTGGCTCCCGTTTTACATTTGAGGTTAGGATTAGGGTACCGGTTAATGGTTCCCGATTTTCGGGTTAGGGTTATGGCTTTAAGCTTAGGTTTCCGGGTTACAGTTAGGGTTAGAGCGTACGATTAGGTTTCAGTATTACGGTTAGGTTTTCAGTTACGGCTAGGTCTAAGGTCTACGGTTACGTTTACGAATTTGGTTAGGGCTAGGGTTACCGTTAGGGTTAACGGCTATCGTTTAAGATTGAGCTTACTGTTAGTGTTAAGTTTAAGGTTAGGATTAAGGTTAAGGTCGCAGTCCGCTTCCCCATTCCTAGCTACCAACTGCGATCTAGCCGAAGGAAGAATCGACGACCTCCAAATAATTGTCGGACGTCCAACCTGGTGGACCAGCTCGTTCGCGGTAGTCGACTGTTTATATAACAGATCTTTCCCCACTACAACTAGAAAGATGAGCCTACTTCCTTGGTTTGGTTGCAATGGAGAATCCCTTGTCACAAGGAAAGCATGCATGCATGTTACTGTGTGGAACAGTAGCTGACCGGGTCATCTTCTTATTTCGCTAGGCCGTAGAAACAAAAGTTAATTTTGTTCACTGCGTAACGTACAGGTGGAAGATGAGGAGGAATGGGAAGAAGAGTAGGAGGAGGAGGAGGAGGAGGAGGAGGAGGAGGAGGAGGAAGAGGAGGAGGAGGAAGAGGAGTAGGAGGAGGAGGAGGAGAAGGAGAAGATTTGTAAACCTCTTACGCCGCATGTTTGAACGTCCCCTATCCAAGAGCGCGCATGGGAATGCACAAACCCCCTTTCACAATAAGCACTAGCTGAGATATACCGAACTGCTTAGATTCCGGTAGCCCGAATCGGCTAAGCACACGTTCGATCCAAAATCCTCTGACTTCTGTACAGAAGGCCGCCTGTCACCAGAGGGTTAAACTGAGTCCTTGCCAGGTAAAACCCTGACGAAAAGACACATCTTGATTAGACATCTGATTTTTGAGCAAGATTCCCTCAGGTGGTAAGAAGGATTCCCAAAGGAGAGCGATCGTTTGGCAGTGTTTGAAATGGTTGTTTATCTACAAATGCGATCGATTTATTCAGTGGAGCTTCAGGTGTCGGATGTTTTCCAACGGATTAGGGAGTCCAGCAAACACCAAAACGTTTTTAACATTACCTTCACACTGCCGATATAGAGGGAAGTTTGAGTTTCATGAAGGCATTGAGAAAAAGGAGATACGAATGTTAGGCCCTCTATCTGATAGTTATTTCGAGCAACTTCACCATCAAAAATCGTGAAAGTTGACTAGAACTGAAGAGGGGCCTCTAACATTAGAGAGGACTGGAGACAAGTCAAAGAAAGAACAGTCATGTGTGAAAGATGACAGTGCGCCTGCAGTTTCCACCAGGACACAACCGACCTTTGCAGGGCGGAAACTTGCAGCGGAAGACGCTGTTTGACATTGGCTTGTAGATGAAAATGTCATCCTGCCCCAGTCAGGGCTGTTTCGTTAGACTTGATTCACCGCCGCAAGGCTGCAGAGTGATCCCCTCTCTCTCTCTGCCCCGCAGAGGGTAGTGGAAATTGAAAAAAAAAACACAATCTGTTTGCATGAGAGCGATAAAAGTGCAAAGTGGTTCACTTATGTTAAAACTGGCGCTACAGTGCAGTTGGACTTCTAATGGACCTCGTGCTTCGTCCCCGTCGTGTACATAGATGAAGAAGGGAACGCATGTGCAGTAATTGTAGTGCGCAGGCGGTACAAATAATGATTACTTCACTAAACTGGTTCTCATTTCCACTTCCCCAAATGCAGTCTTGACATTGGGTTACGGTGGGTCTGGTAAGAGGAAGTAAGACAGACTTTGCGCATTTTAATCACGCAGTTATTCATGCATTCGACCAACGCCCTGTAGTATTTGCACATCCGATACCCAAAACACACACTGCTGCTGTGTCAGACAGATAGACTAATCGAACACTAGTAATTGCACCCAGTTAAGTTTCGGTCAACTTGACTCGTTTCTTCCATCGGCGCATGGCGCTAGATCGAAGAGAGGATAGGACCAGTCCTCGGACGGTCCTTCTTCACTAATTATAGGTCTTATGTACTTTCAAAGTTACACCGGTATCTTTAAAGTCGTGGTCAAGTTGCTGGATTTCCTTTTAGTACACAGCCTTGTGTGCGTGTGAGATGCGACTGACTGAGCATTGGCTGGCGTGAGTCAAGGGGTTAGTGTGCTTGCGGCTAGAATAGAGGCGTCTTTTTGACCTCTGACCCTCGTCGGAGCATAGTGCGCTTGGAGAGATGGAGTGAGGTCTGTGTGACGCAAAATCCAGTCATCTCCAACATAAAATTCTCACGATGTTAATACCAGAAAATATTTTATCATGCAATTTTCCATGCGAATCGAGCTAAGTTTGGTCGTTTTCTTTCTAAACATAAATTTGTGGGCTACAGCTCAACTAGGCCGTCTAGATGGATACCTAAACAGTCTCTGAATCTCAAGTGACAAGTGCATAGAGGCAATATCCAGGGAAACATACGTTCATTGCCTCCACAGAACTGATCGCGACTGTCAGAAATCTCAAGAGAGACCGAAACGCCCCTGCACCCCGTCCAACCAGAGCAACTGCGTCCACACTAGCAACCTGAAATGACCGTTCTCATTCCAACTGCTCAACGGCCCACCAACCAGCGAAAATGCGGTTATTGTTGTTGGAAGTTTGTTTGAAACGAAGAGGAGATCTCAGTCCTTATCGAAACCCCCTTTGCACAACAAAGTCAACAAGTGGAAACAAGGCACACCTCCCTCCTGAATTCCTCATCTGTTACTGACATCCTCGTCAGGAAGCTGCCTTTTCACCTGCACGGAAGCAACGACTGCCTTGCCACAACTAGACTTTCCTTTTGCAGCTGGTCTATCTCACAAAATCTTGATCGAAATCTTGAAGAGTAATTTAGATTTGAGAGGATTGCTAAAGTGGCTTTGTAATATTAGTTATCATGCAGCATCTTCGCCAAATGTTTAAACAACGCCAGGATATCGGTTCATGAAAGGGCTTTTCTTCCCGCCAACCGCAAAACCACACTCGGTTCAAGGTGATTACTTAAATAGTATGAACCTTCCCACTGATTTTTTTATGTTGCTATGAATTCAGATATATTTTAGGGAACATGTATGAAGAAAATAAATTTTATTCGACTCCTTTTGTGAGAAATTACGTTTTCTTCAAAGTCCGTATTCAAAGAAACGATAATTTCCTGTGTTAAAATTTTGATATTATGAGGTTACTATGACCGTGAAAAATCCACTCAAATGGCATCAAATCTGCCCTTCATTAATGATGATTATGAAGTATGCGACGAGGTCCACATCCATTTCAAAGCCGTGCGAGACTTATATTAAGTCCTCTTAATTGTGGGAAGAAATGTGTCATTTTCCTTACGCAACATGTGGCTTGGAAACTCTAAGCAGGTTGCAAAACGTCCGAGGATTGGGAACGTTTTTTAAAACTTAAAGATACCGTACCTTCGAGGACAACATATTATAAGGACGTAGATTGGTACCAAATGAGTACGAAAAAGAATATATGGCAACGATAGGGTAAAAAACCGCCCTAAGTGTTGGTAAACTGTGGATCGCGTCATGTGGGATTTTATCTTAACATTCATTTGCAGGCCGTTGTAGACGCTATACTGCCAAGATCAATTGCTTCGAACACCTGTGCAGAAACCGGACCTGCGCATAAGTAGGACCTCTTGAAGGGCAAACGTTTCCCATCGTCGGGCCGAACGGAGCACGCCGCGCCAAACAAATTGCCGATACAAGCGGAGATGCAAGTTCCAGGAGCCAGTTGGTAAGAAGAAGAGACGATCGCTG